TGTGTTGGCAGCACTCTTCGCTTTTTTTCTTGCAGGAAAAAAAAAGTCCTGAATTATTTGTTGTTGTTTCAGACAAAGGGGAAATGTGTCCATTAGGTATCTGGAAGGATCTGGATTCAGAGCACCAGCAAGCCGCCTCCAGACAAGGGTGTCAGTTTCAGGCCCATGATCACCGTGATGCTGAGGGTCCTCTGTTGATACAGAGGGAAAGCATTGATCATCTGAACGCTTCCAGCCTGTGTGCTGTGTCCCCCTGCTCCAGACGTGGCTCGAGAGGTGACAGCACTGATTTTCCTTTCCTTGCAGAGGAAACCCAGGGCCCGTGGGGCTCAGAGGAGCAGCAGGGCTCAGTGAGAGCAGCTCTCGTTGCTCTGCACCGCTGTGAGCAGCCTGCAGAGGGCTGGCATTGAGCTGTTTGCCCTGCTTTGTGAGCAGCACACGAGATGAGCGCAGCAGAGTGGAAGTGCTCCTCACACAGCAGCTGCCATGCTGTAACCTCAAACCATTGTAAACGTGGCATCAAAGCCGAGTTCTGAGGAGGGATAAAGGGGGCTTGTTGCGATCAGCAGGTGACAAAGATCACCAGTCTCATAATCTCAGATCAGAACCTGCATGCGTTGGGCAAAGCGAAGCTGTCACAGATAGGGAATTTCATCCTGTGCTTGTTAACCTGCAAATCAGACTGTAAAGAGGTGATTGAAATTCAGGCTTTTGAGATTCCGTGAGCTGAAAATTCACAGTCCAGATTGGAACACAGTGACAGCTCTCAACAGCCAGAACCAGCATGGGAGGGGAGAGCAAAGGCCTGGAAATGGGAAATCCTCAGGGGAGCCTTTTCAGGACAGCTGCAGAGTGCTTTTAGGAGCGTGGCTCTGAAATCTTGTTATCCTTTTGTCCTCTGCTTATGAAACACCTCAGCGTTGCCTGGCTGTCCCCCCCCCATCCCTGTTCCATCATTTGCAGTTGGATGCGTCGTCCTCTCCTGCCTGTTGAATGCTCTTGCTGCATTATGGCCAGTTTTATGGCGACTTCTGTGACAAAAGTTTCCGTTGGCTGCGAGCTGATGCACACAACGTGTTGGCATGGGGATAAACAGCAAAGAAGAGAAACCCGTTGTTGGATGTGAGCGCAGGAGAGCGTGCTGCCCAGCTGTCCTCGTGTAACTGTCAATGATTGATTCGCTGCTTTAACGTCTAACTTAGGGAGCTGTGTTTTGGAACCGCTGTCAGCGTTGTTTCCTATGAAACCTGCTCTTGCTGCTCTTCTCTCCCCAGTTTATGGATAGTTCCTTAGCTAATGGCAAGTTTCCAGGCTGTAGGATTGCATTGCTGGGATGCTGTACTTTTCCAGTCGCTTGCAGAGGAGCTGTATCAGTGCTTCAGACTTTCTCTGGGCATTTCTTCCATCCTTTGATCACCGTACAGCTATAGATAGATCTGTGTGCTAAGGATGTTTGAAATGCCTACAGGGTTTTGAACAGTGCTCTCGTGCTTTTGCAAAAGGCTTTTCCAAACCTGTTGGTAGGTTGGATGGGATGGATTGCCATCTGTGTGCCAGCAAGTCTCCTGTGCCTGGCTCCCCTTATCCATCTCACCCAGAGCTGGAGGAGTCACAAGCCTCGTCCTGGCTTCTGATACGGCCTCTGGTGTTGTGTCTGGGAGTGCAGGTCGAACTCCTGAACTAGAAGGAGGATTTGAGCTGAGCAATCAGGGAGTCACCATCGCATTATCTGTGTGTCCATTAGCAGAGATTGGCGCTTCTTATTCTGCACCATTCGCCCTTTACGTGGCAGTTGTCCCTGCATGGCATCTCCTTTCTCTGCAGCACAGATTCTCTATTGCGGGTTTGGTTGCATCCTTGGTTTGCCAGCTTGGATATCCAGGCTGTCATTTGCCCTACTTGGCCTCTCCCTTTCTATTCGTGTTTCATTGCTGCTACTTGAGCTGCTGGTGAGCAGTTGGGATCCGTGTTTGTGTCACAGTGCCCCAATTAAAAGAATTAACAGTGAAAATCGGTGGCTTTTTGCAAGGAAACACAACGTGTTGGGTCATTTCCTTAAAGATCTGCATGGACCGTATGATTTTTGCTGGCATCAGGATGGCAGAGATGGTGCACTTCATTAAGCATCACATTACTTAAAAATCAAAATCTCTGTGATTGTTTACACGCCACTTTTGCTGTCTGTCTCCTTCAGCTTGCTGTGATCTGCAATTCTTCTGCTTTGGAGAGCAGTGCATCGCTCTCCTCACAGCACGCAGCCCAGCCCTGCTGTGTGGCTGCATCCCGGCTTGCTGCCTCCTTTCAGTCACTCCTGCAGGTGTGCTGTCTGCTGTCTGCATCTGAAGTGGTGCAGCACAGCCGCCTTCTTTGAGCACTACAGAAACGGGCTGTGGCTGCTTCCTCCGAGGAAGCAGAGCGTCGCTGTGCAGTGGCTCTGCTGATTTGCATCAGAAAATTCGTTCACCTCGTGCTCGTAAAATGGCCTTGGTGAGCTCCGAGCAGCAGGGAGTTGTGTGAATGGAAACCTGAAGTCAGCAGGCGATGGAGTTCAGCCCAGCTGTGCCGCAAAATGTGCTCACCTGAATGCTAAGTCACTGCTGCAGGTTGGATGCAAAATTGTTAACGATGCTTTAAAATACTCCTATTTTTTTATCAGTTCTGGAGGAGCAGAGGGGAGGAGTGGGAAGGAGCAGGAGGCAAGATGTCGTTCCTCTTGCTGTGCTCACACGTGCTGTCTGCGCTGTGCTGAGTGCAGCAATCTCGCCTTGCTCACACGAAGCAGAGCATCCCTGCAATCCAGTGCTCTCCCAGCACCACGTCGTGGGTGTTGGGTCCTCCTTCTACAGGCACAGAGTTGCTCTCCTTTCTCTGCTTCCTTGCTGCATGCGTGTGGCTCCTGTGCTCTCACTGCTGAATCCTTCAGTCCTCCAAAGCATGAGATCCAGGTTCCATCAATGCAAAGCTATTGCAGTAAGCTGCCTGCCGTGCTTAGCTACACCATGACTTGGTAGGTGTGCTTCAGGATTTTTTTTAGTACTGCTCTGAGTTTAGCTAGCAGTATATTTGACAAATGCACTCTTCCTTATTGCTTCTGGATGCAGAGAGCAGCTATCCTACTTGTGTCAAAAGCTGCAGAAAGTGCTTATTGTTTCCTTAATGTGCCATTACCTGGGCAGCCCATTTGCACAGAGTAAAGGGGAGCAAAGAGAGCTACTTGTCTACAAAACTAGGAGCAGCAAAGCTTTTGCACATCAAACAGCAGGTTTTTGTTCACGAAGCAGCAAATTCTTAGGAGGCAATCATCGCTCTGAATTTTAGGCACTTCCACTGTTGGAGCATCCATCACAGCTAGTGTTTCTGTCTGGGTAATCAATGGGAAGAAACGAGCTGCTCTGCAATGCGTTCACATGATCAGCTCTTGCTGAAGGTGACGAATTGCAGCCTGGAGGTGCAGTTCGGTGTGGGCAGCCCAGCTGAGGCCATCTGCATCCACTGCAGCCATCTCCCAGATCACGATTCATCGCCTGCAGCCCTAGCACAGCTGGGCCTTCAGCCTCCTTGTACTCTCAAAGCAGTTCTGGCTTATCAAGTGGAACACACACCGTGGCTGTTGGGTTGGTTTCTTCCAGCTTCCCCATTGACCCCCATGGAAGCACCCCTGTGCAGCCAGAGCATTAAGTGATCTGAGCTGGGGGGGACCTGAAACGCCATGGAGCTCCAACCCCTGCCATGCAGGGCTGTCAGCTGCTGGTCACGCTGCCCAGGGCCCCGTCCAGCCCACCCTGAATGCCTCTGGAGCTGGGGCACCCTCAGCTCTCTGACAGCCTTTGATGGGAGCCTCTGCTCAGCGCTGCCAGCCTCGCGCTTGCTGAATAGTGCTGGGCGTGAAATCATGACAAGGGGGCTCAAAGCTGTGGGGCAGATGATTTGGGAATGATTCAGCCTCAAGGATTCATTGGTAGTGCAGCAAAGTCAGTAATCTTTCTAATAAATGGCTGGATCAGATGAAAAATCTGTTCAGCCCATTACGTTACATGGGAAGATGGTCTGCAGAGGGCAAACCAGGCGAAGAATCCCAGGGCAAACGAATTTTTCCTCGATAGATCTTTATCCCTTTCTTGGCTAATTACCTGTCTACATCTTTGATGCTCTGCTAACCTGTGGCAGTGATAGACCTACAAAAGAACATTTCATTTCAGACACTCTGGTTCTTCTACTGTGAGACGGCGTTAATCATCATTCCCCATTAGCCGGGCTGAAGAATCCAATCTAATTAATCTTAGCTAAGATGGAAGCCAATCCACCGGTATGGAAATGAGCCTCACCGCTGTGCTCTGCTGCAGCACTGCTGAATTCCTCTGAAGTTCCTCCTCTGTGAGCGTCTGTGCAGAGTTCAGTGAAGATATTTTCATGTGAATAATGCTGAGATCTCTGGGGTTTAATGCAATCCAGTGGTGGCACAGCCTCTGAGGCAGCTGTGTGCTTTTCGGTAGCAAGGGGCTCGCTTTACTCAGTGCTTGGAGGTCACTTCTTTCCTTCCTTAACCCTTTCCACCACGTTCCTCCTTTGTGTGGTGCCTGCAGTTCTGCTGTTTTCTGCTGTGATGGGTTTCGTACCGATGAAGGCAGCAGATTGCAGGGATGTGATGGTGAATATAATGCAGGGAGGGTCTGAGCAATGTGCCAGTGCAGGATTTCTTTCTTGAGATCTATATCTGAGCAAGAGATGTTTGGTTTTTTTGCTAATGAGTGTAGTAAGACCTGGACGGGGGTAAATAACACCCCAGATAGGAGGAGGTGATGTGTGCATTTCCCCTGCTCATAGGAAGGATGGCCCAGAGCAGACAACAGCAGCAGTGCTAGCAGACAGAGCTCAAAGGATGTTTGTAGATACAGAAGAGACCAACAGCTCTGGAGCTCGCTGAGTCAGGAGGGCAGAACGTCCGCTTTTATTTCCATGTTAACCTCTTCTGCCTCTTTTTGTCATTGCTTTCCCTGCAGGTCATACCTGACCCCGGTGCGGGATGAGGAGGCCGAGTCGCTGAGGAAGGCACGGTCCAGGCAGGCCCGGCAGACACGCAGATCCACCCAGGTGAGGGATGGAAATGGGTGCGAAGGGCGGCTGCGTGAGGAAGCAGGACTTGTGCTGCTGAGTGACTGCCTGGTGCGGGGACACCCTGATAAAAACACACAGGAGGAATTAGTATAAAATACTCCTGCGAGCACCTAGAAGTGAGATCACAAAGTGCTCATTCCGTCAGAACAGCAGAATAGCTGCCTGTTAGTTGGTGGCTTGATGGTGAATGTTTGGGTCGCTCTGATGCTGTTCTTACACTGAGAAATGTGGGAAGGGCAGCGAGGCGCTTCTCTCTGGGTCGGCGTCACGTTGAGGCCCACGGGCGTCAGGTTGGCCGAGCAGAAGCCAGCTGAGCAACCTTAAATTTGCTGCGCGAGCTGGAAGAGCTGAAAGGTAGTTGCACAAATGAAGAAATCCTGGCTTTTCTTTGTTACAGGGTGTGACGCTGACGGACCTTCAGGAGGCAGAGAGAACCTTCAGCCGCTCCCGGGCAGAACGGCAGGCTCAGGAGCAGCAGAGCGAGAAGGCTGAGAGCGCTGCTGAGGACAGTGAGAGGCAGGAGAGCCGCACGCGGTGGAGCAGAAATGCAGATGAGGAGGTGAACTCCTGCCCGGCCCCTCGTTGCTTGTGATGATGCAGTGCTGAGGCTAGCGGAGAGAAATTCTTAGGGGGTTTCCTGTTTATTTTAAGGGGGCAGATGTGCTGGAAAGACGCTGAGGATTGTCCTTGCCTCAGAGGGGTTGCACGTATGAGGGTTAAGGTGTTCCTTTGCTCTCCGCCAAGGATTGCATTCCTCTATTTCTTACCAGAAAGCAGAACTGGAAATCATAGAAGTGGAATGAGAAGACTAATGAGAGCGTTGTTGCCTGGATCCATGCTTACTGTGCAGATTGGGCTGAGGCTTTTTCCTTCCATCATAGCACAGATATTCTGGGTGCAGTGGAAAGCTGGGTAGCCCAGTGCTCTCCGCCTTCCATCACTCCTGGTTTTTTTCACTCGAAATCATTTTTGAGATAACTCATTTGTTGTGTTACCTGCAGTGGGGACAAAGGCAGTAATCCTAGGCTTCCTAGCAAAGGGACTATACAGTGTTTATGTGCATAGCTCCACTGGGCTGTTAATGCTTGTTCCAGTCTGTATCTGACCTGGTGGATGGTGCTGATGTCTTTCAGCAGTAGTGAAGGAAATACAACCCTCTGGAAGGTCACTCAGCTGCCTGAAATCCCAATCTTCTGCTTCCTTCTCGTTTTGCCGACATGTTGTGGTGTCTGTTTGCTTGCAGGCTGTCTATCGGCGATTAAGGTGCCCAGTGCAAGCAGACAAACCTACAACACCTGTATCTCCTTCTACGTCAGCTCCTCTCCTTTATACAAGCTCTTACCTAACTCGAACAAATAAATATCTGGGCCTTGACTCTGTGAATCCAGCAGACTTCACAGCTGCGGCCACAGAGATGGAGAAGAACGGTATGTGCTCAGCAGGAGGGCGACGGGAAGCTCCGGGATTTTGATGAGCTTTAGCACTTGCAGTGCATAAAGTCACAGAGTTTACGTGTTCTGAGGGGTGCAGTGTGGGAAGCTGCCATCTCAAAAAACAGATGTTACGTGTTAATAATGTGGGGTAAAGGCCACTGCTTGTAGAAGAGGAGGATAGAAGAGTTTTCCATTTTGAACAACTAACTATCATGAGTCTACGTTGTATTCAGATCTTAGAGCTGGGTACTGATTCTGCTACTGTAATTTGTCCTGAGAATAGAAGTGCGCTGTGGTGATCTGCTGAGAGCTGACAGGCAGTGTAATCCTTTGGTTTTGGATAAGGCCAGGTGTAGCAGGGCGCTCTGAGTCCATTTTATCTGGTTTACTCACTACTCCGTAATGGAACACAACCCAGAACCACCTTGATTGGCTTGAAAAGAAACGTAGTGCCTTAGCAGAAGTGCAGATGTAAATCACTGGAAGCAAAGCAGTCTTTCTTTGCTTGGCTAGAGTGCGAAGATGTGGATCTGGAGGACAGATCTCCAAACAAGCAGTCGATCCGAGAGAGGCGGCGGCCAAAAGAGCGGCGAAGAGGCACTGGCATCATTTTCTCAACAAAAGATGTGAGTTTGGGTTGCTTAGAGAAGTGAAACTTGCTTTGTAATATTTTGAGTGAATTTCCTTCCAGTTCCAAGCTTAAGATTTTCTTCCAGATCAGGTGGTTCCCCTTTGGTCCGTCTCTCTCTAGCTCCTATTTCAGACTGGCACTTCCAGAGCGATCGCATCACCCTTTGGTCCATGTAAAATCTAAGAAACAGGCTCTTAAAGGCCTGGCTTACTCCCTTATTTTGGTAGAAGTGTTCGTAGCTGTAACATCAAATCATAAATAACATCTTGCTGTGATATTAAAAAAAGAAAAAAGAAAGAAAGCAACACAACTGTTTCCAAGATGCCTCATGATAGCATCTGCTTTTCATCCTAGGACGATGACGACGTTGATGGAAATGAGGAAGTGAAGGAAAGTCGGGTGAGTGAAAACATCTCCAAACAGTGCTTTGCTCCTGAGTGCTGGTGGCAGTAATTCTCCTGTTGTTCATATGAGAAGCTCAGGAGCCAACTGGCAGGGAGCTGGGAGCAGTTTGCTTACTGAAAGGTGCAGAATATCTGCAGACCGACCCGAGTGCCAAAATCTGCTCCGTGTGGAGAAAGTGTGTGCTATGGAGAGAGCTGTCAGAGCAGTGTCCATAGAGCAGGGCTGCCAGGCGTCTCAAAGAGACACAGCCTGTGACCTTGTGCCTCAGCATCATCCCAGCCACGTTGGTTTGGATTCTGAAATCTGTGCTCGTCTCCTCGTGGATTTGTTTCTGTGCAGGAGATCTTGCCAAGCAGCACACCAGAGATTGTTCTTTGTTCCCCTGTAATTGCAATAGTCTCATGATCCTCCCAGGCCCTCTCTTCATAATAATTGTTGAGTCCTTCCAAATTGACTTGGTTTCTTTTGTTGCTGTCTGTCTTTGTCTAAAATACATTTGAGCCTGACAACATGACTTAAACATTGTTAAAGCTGAGTGTGTTTCCAAGCTCTCAAAGTGTGATGTGCAAACCTAGGAAAACAGTAAGCTGAAGGTTGCATGGAGGTCAGCCTGCTTGTGCACATTTAATCTTTGACAGAAACATTCGACTCAGAGCAGCTTCTCGTGTGCTTTGCAAATCAGTGCAGTGATGGAAGCATTTATTGGGTCAAAAAGAAAATATTCTTGTTATCTTCTTCCTGTGCTTGGTCCAAATGGGGGGAGGTCGTGGTTGGACTTCTAGGGGTCAGAGCCTCACATGGAGCTGGGATGGCTCTTGGCACATTCCTGTCTTTCAGTGCCAGCCTTTGCTTTCCCAGTGCTTGCTTTGCAAGTGTGAAACTCGGGGTATTCCTCGCATGCTGTGTGCTGGGTTGGGTTACAGCTCTCATGCCCACTTTTGTTTGCTCTTCCACTGAAATCTGAATCTTCTGCAGCATATCATCCTTCAAATTGTTCTGAGATTTCAGCCATCTCGCCTTGAGACCGAAAGAGATTTAAATGTTTACAAAGTAAAACTAACAGGGGTGTCTTATTCTGTGCAGTCCTCCAGCGCTGCTGTCTTGGTCACTCGTCCCCAGTTTATTTTACATTGAAGTCACGGACATTTCTGTGCTGCAAACTGCCCCTCGGGTTGCAGGAGTGGCAGAGCAGCTGCTGGGACACAATTCTAGCACCAAGCAGCCAGCGCACTTCGTATTCATGAATTTGTCAGTAATAACTTGCTGTTGTGGACTGACGAGTGCGGCCGTCGTTGCTGTGAATGTGAATGTGGTAAAAGTCCCATTGCAGACCCTCAGATCCCCCTGAGTTTGAGAGCAGCTTTTTTCTCCAGTGTTTGTGTGTTGGCTGCTAAGCAGACAGATTGCATGGGAGCCGAGCTCTGCTTCAATTCCCTCTTCCAAACTGTGCAGCAGTGAGGTTCAATAAAGGCAAGGTAGGTGCAGTCTTTGAAAAAGGAGCAAAGGTAAATTGTTGTAATTCTCAGAAGTGGATGAATTATTTTGGCTGAGATTTGCAAACCCAGCGTGGGAAAGCAGCCCAGGCTCTCTGGCTGAGTGGTAGGCAACTGAGAGCAGCCTTCTAATAGGATGTGTCAGGAAACCTTCATTTGTTTTGCTACCAGCCCTGCCTTTCTCCTGCTGATATAGACTGCTTGAATAGGTTGTGGAAAGTTGGAAGAGCAGACAAAGTTTTATTGTGGAATAAATGTTCAAGGGCAGAAGGGCTTTGGCTGGAAAAAGCCTCTGGGGAAGCAGTTCTAGGAGGGTTTTTTTTGCATGGATCCACTGGGAGGAATGTGGAAAGGGAAGAGCCTTTGTTGGATTGGGCAGACCTGAGCTCAGAGCGGAGAGAAGGAGGGAGCTCGGCCTCCATCTGGGCTCTGCTTCTCCAAGTGAGAAGTTGTGAGAGTGCAGGGAGAGCTGAGCAGGGGGGGCTGCAGCGGGGTCCCTGGTGGCTGCGCTGCTCCCTGTGAGCCAGGGGCTGAGGGGCAGCAGTGAGAACAGCATCACGGGGGGGTCGGCGTGTGCCAGCAGTGGGGGGTGGGCAGACATCCATGTACCGGTGTGATTTTGGAGGGGGTTTCCATATCCCTGGCTCTTTCTGTCTTTGCCTTACACCCGATGTCTGCCAGTGCTGTTAGCTAGCAGGAGAAACTGGGTCCAGTCTGGAAGAAAGCTGTTTCCAAACGAGGCACTGGATATAACAGAAGAACGACGATGTTTGCAATAGTTCAGAGCATTTATCTACTTGCAGTTCTCTCTAGAGGCGTTGCAAGTGAGTCTCACCCGTGTGGGACGCGGTTTCTCAGGGGAAAGCTTTAAATCCAGCCGAGTGTCGTGTTGGTGACATCCCAGCATTCCAGGCACTAAAAGTGTCAAGGGAAACATCTGTTTCCATGGACTTCCCTTAGGACGGTCTGTATGGCACAGCATAAAACTCAGACACGTAAATGGCGTCAGCTTTGATGCAGGGGTGGCACTGGAGCACACAGTTGTCCTTATGGCCGCAGTAGGGTGCGAAATGAGCCCCATTCTCAGCTCTTTGATTATGAAACGTGACTATTCTACGTTCCAGCGCCGCCCAAGCCCACTCTGCTTTGTGACTAATTCCTTCTCTGCCTAATGGTGTGACTGAGCTGAAATCAGCAGGCTCAGGTGAGGGCTGATAGAAGCAACAGCTCCTGTAGAAGGGCTGCGTTTCTGAGCTTGTTGCTGTGAGTTCCAAGGGAAGAGCAATGAACTGCAGAGTTGGTTTTGCAAACTGAGCGTCCTGATGTTGGAGCTGTTCCACAATGTAGCTCGGGAGCCCTTATTTGGGGATGTCACGGGGATTTCTCTCCTGCAGTTTTGCTCTTCGTGGCATTTTATCTCCCATTAAGACTTCCAGTTCAGCTTTTCTATCTGTGCTGTTTATCAAATCCTTCTTTAAAAATAGTTAAACGACCCAAAGGTCAGAAGCAGTTTCAGCTGCTGTTGCTCCTTGCCTGTTACAGCCAGACTGCATCTGCCAGAGCCCTCAAGTCCTACCTTCCTCCATGGACCCCAGCCTCTCTTGCTTCCTTTTCCCACTCTGGCAGCACAAAGCACAGCACCCTGCGGGCTGTTGTCTTTTTAAGCTAAGAAAGGATCCGAGTCCTCTGCTTTCAGGACTCAGATTGCCTAATATGGTAAGGTATGTCTTCACAGCCTGCTCTGTTTTGCTGAGATCCGAGGGAAAATTGACTCATAAAAGGGAACAAAATAGGTGAATTTCTTGCCAGCTGATAAGAAGGGGAGATCTTTCAACCTGGACAGCGTGATGTGATGCTGCTCACTGTGCTCCTCATTGCTGCCAGCCCAGGGTCCCTGTGGGGCAGTGAGGATGCAGTGTTTCTGCTCTTGAATGTTTACTTCTAACACAGTTGTGGTGTGATGGGGGAGCAGAGCCACCCGGCCCACATCCCAGGTAACAGAGGTGTAGCTGTGCATCACTTGTGTGGCTGTGGCTAAATTATAGAGGACTTAATTATGTGTAAAGGGAGACTATGAGAGATTGGCTCTGTTTAGTCCTGTTTATAAACAAAGTGCTGTAATAGGTTGTTATGCTGCAGTGAGACGGGATCTTGAACATGTGCACAGCTAGCAATATAAAGTTGGATCTGAAATAGCAGAAAATTGCTGCAACAGCATGAGTTAGTGTTTTGGCATAGAGCTGAAATGTGGTGAAGAACATTTTTATTGCATTTGGAGTACCCTGGCTTCCTTGGGAGCTGGAAGGGGAAGGCAGTGTAGACATTAAGATTCATTCTGTGTGCTTCTATAGCATTTTTTTCACATCTGCACAGATGATTCTCCTCTGTTGGTTCTTCTTAACATCAGTGTTTGGAGAGGAGTATCAGACTTGCTGTCTGCCATCCCTGGTGATGCAGTGTTTAAATCGTCAGCATGGCTGCCTAGTCCCTGTTTACACGTTGTTTGTGCTTAAAGGCCAAGCAGTCCAAGTCTGCTATGCAGACTACAGGGTTACAGCTAAATGCGTTCTGGTTAATTCCTATAATTCACCAAGCTGCTGAATTAGGAAGGTGTAACGTGAAGCAGTGTCCACGATGGAGGTGGGTAACACAAAACCAGCTGATGGGCAGCCTGTGAGTCCCGGGGAGGTGAAGCAAAGCAGCGAGTCCTCCAGGAGGGATTCACAAGGTCACGGAGCCGTGACTATTCGCAGTAACTTTATGCTGTAGCTTCTTGGTGAATTACTCTCACAATTTCAGTATGGTTCAGAGTGACAAATCTTTCACAGTTGTCAGCAGGTGATTGCTCCCGAAGCTGTGGAGCTGAGGTTAGCAATGGATCGGATGCCCAGCAGATCCCTTGGCTTTTGCTGGCTCTGCTGGGAGCTCTGTGCTGGCAGTTCCAGTGTTCCCATTTTAGCCCAGGGTTCCTTTGCTCACACAGGAGCCGACCCGCATGCTTCCAGGGATCCTTCTTCCTTCCCAGAAGGAGCTGGGAGCAGTGTGATGGTGCCACGTGGGCTGGCAGGGGGATCACTGCCATATGTGTGCATCCCTCCTGCGCCGGGTGACGTGGCTCAGGTGCTGCAGAAGCCAGCGCTGGCTGAGGCTGGGCAAACCTAACGACTGTTTTCAGGCTGATTGTGTTTATGATTTTTGATTTTAAGAACTAACAACACCTGTTTATGCTTATACGTATCCGTGACACGCTGAAAACTACGGAAGGGAGCGAGATTTCCAATTCCTGAAGTTCCCATAGCAGCCCTCCATCCTCTGGAGCTGCTGGTTGTACCTCGCTGTCCGTCAGCCTGCAGCCCGCAGTGCAGACATCTTTCCTGACATCCTCCAGGAAAATCCAGCCTGTGGGATGGACGATGGTGCCTCAGGTGGGCAGGGTTGTGTGCCTTGGGGTGAGCTTTGTGGGCAACGAGAGAAGGCTTCGGGGGATGCAATGCAATGCAG